GTCTTGTCATGTAGAAGACCGTGATGCCCGTACCTTTCTAGTGTAGTTCATGTCGACTGATAAGCCCAGAAAGTTCACTTTGGCTTTCTCATGGAGAAGACCGTGTTGTCTTGTGGAAGCCCGTTAAGCCCATGCTTTTCTAGTGTAGTTCTTGTTGTCTTCTCGAAGACCATGGAGCCCATGCCTTTCTAGTGAAGTTTGTGTTGTCTTGAAGAAGAACGTGACGCCCATGCCTTTCTAGTAGAGTTCGCATCACCTCGTAGACGACTAGTAAGCCCAGAAAGCCGACGTTCGCTTTCTTGTGGAAGAGACCTTTAAGCCCACAAAGGTCGACTTTCGCGTTCCAGTGGAGAAGACCGTAAGCCCACAACATTGATTTTTCTTTCTGTTCAAAATTTCGTTTCTAGAGAACACTAACCCCACAAAGATGGCTAGACACAAAAGGACAGCTAGACCATTTTAAACAAGTAGGAGATGTCAGATGATGGATCACAGCGTTTTGCACGGACTGGGTGGGAGGGGAGAGAGCAGGATGGATTGCCAGAGTAGAATGGAATGGAGACAGGGGAGAGGGACAGAGGGATTTGGAAGAGATGAGGGACTACCGCTTCAGCTTCAATGACTGGACTAACATTGAACCCTCATTTCCACTTCGTCCCCCCACGGATTTTCCAGACCCTTTCCCACCCCATGCCCTCTCCTTGATTGAAACCCTGTCTTGAATGAGGTAACCTTGTCCTCTACACACTCTTACTCATATATAAGGAACTCCTCCCTGGAGCCCCCCGGGAAGGTTGTTTCTGCCCTTAAAATATCCATATTTCTTCTTTCTTCCATATTTCTTTTCCTCGGCTGAACTTCTGAAGCACTCTGAGCAAGAGAGTATGGGAGACCAGTAGGGGGGGGAACTAGTAGCAGCAGTGGGTATCTGGCGCCGGTTGCAGGGTGAAGAGGTTCCTCCCTCCTTCCAGTATCTTGCTCAGTCAATCCCCTGGATCCCGGGGCAATCAATGCTGGCAAGCGGGGCAATCAATGCTGGCAAGACCTTCCTGAACATCTACTCTTTTTGTTGTAAATCAATTCCAATCTGTACAAGGGACGCTGGACCCGTTTTCCAGCAGGTGATGCTCCCCACCAATAGACTGGAGCCTCTCCCCAGGTAAAAAGAAAAAAAAATAAGACCCAGAAATCCATTTCTACTTTCTAGCGTATGAGGATCGAGTCGATTACAGAGGACTGTAGTCCTACAAGGTTGTCTCCTTTCTACTGTAGACTCCTAGGGAATTGCAGAGGATAGTGTAGTGAAAAGACATGTCTACTGAGACCAACTGGGAACGGGGAACCATCCTGCAGAGAGGCAGTGTAAGGGCGAGTGATTGCCTTCCCCTATTTCTTGCTCCCATCCTGTTCGCATACTTTGTGCAGGCACCACTGCCCTCACTCACCTTGATATCCCCCACAAACTTAAGAGGTCTCTCTCTCTCTCTCTCTCTCTCTCTCTTACGCACACACAAACATCGCTTCCTCTATTTTTTCTTTTGGTTCCCCACCCCCTGGCCCTCTCTCTCTCTCTCTCTCTCTCTCTCTCTCTTACGCACACACAAACATCGCTTCCTCTATTTTTTCTTTTGGTTCCCCACCCGCTGGCCCTCTCTCTCTCTCTCTCTCTCTCTCTCACACACACACACACACACACCCACACACACCCACACACCCACACACACACACACACATGTCCTCTATTTTTCTTTTGGTTCTCCCCCCGCTGCCTCACCACCACCCCCCCCCACCCCTTCTCTGCCTCTCTCTCTCTGTGTAACAGTCAAATCAGGGGGAGGGAGGTTCCTTGTAGTACGCAGGCAGCGTGGTTGGGAAAAACATCTGCCTCACGCCTTCAGCCTTGATGATGGGTAATATGATGTTAGAGGCTCCTTTGATCAATCGCATGCCTATCCCGAGGTGGTGAATGGATGGGAGAGGGAAGCAAAGGCGCCCAACACCATACAGTGCCACTGCAAAGAAGTGAAAGACCAAGCTTAGCGGCCGCGGGTTCAGTCCCGAGAGCAGGGCGATAGTACCTGCAGAGAAAACCCCTCCCAAGCTCAGGTAGCCGAAGCAGGCTTCTCTCATCTGGAGCATGGCGGCATCCTGCGACGCGCAGAATACTTTGTACAGAGCCAAGGCCAAGGTGTTGATGGTGGCCGCCATGGGTTTCCTTCTCGTATAGAAGGCTTGCAAATAGTCGGTGATCGCAGACACGTCGCCGAACGTCGGCAGAGGCCTCAGCATATCTCTAAGGAGGGCTATATCGGACAGCGCCACCGTCATCCCACCCCCAGTCAAGGGGTGTCTCATATTAAATGCGTCCCCCATCAGAAGGACACCGGCCCGGGGCAAAGGCGCAGCCGGTAAGGTGCTATTCGGCATAGATCTAATATGACCCCTTTCGACGGCCTCCAAGAAGGGTTTCGCAAGCTTGGCAGGTAGCTGAGGGAGAACTTGGGTCTTCAGGTGCTCTGCCATTTCCCCAGTGTGGATGGATGGGACTTTGGTACCCGGGACATCAACCAAACACCTCACCTCCGTGCTGCTGATGGGATAAAACAGAATAGGAGACGGATTCACAATGACCACGTGACCATAGTTCGGGACCGGCAAGTGGCAGTTTTGCAGTACCATCCCCACAAAGCAGGAGGTGCTGTCGACCTTGCCACTGGACAAGGTCTTACGGAACCTAGAAAAACACCCATCGCAAATGACGGTGAGGGGGGCGAGGGCCTCCTCTTCCTGGCCCGAAGAGGAGGCGGCCCTGCCAGTGCGGAATTTCACACCCCTCACAGCACCCCCTTCGTCCTCGATCAGCGAGGTAACGGTGGCTTCCTTAACGGTGACTAACGGCACAGATGCAGCCTTTGCTCGTAATCTCTGAATGAACCGCCCGTGATGGAAGCTCCTACCCGCAACGTCTTTCCCATAAGTCTCTCTTGGCAGAGGGTAGCCTACTTTAGCTTCACGGCCGTCTTTGAGGAGCGCATACCCATACACCATTTGGGAATCGATCCCTTCCACGCTGTCCTCCATGCCCAGTTCTTTCAGCTTCAGGTAGCCTCCAGGCTGAAGCAGTTCCCCGACTATTCTATCTGGTTCTGACAAGTCTCTTTCCAGCAGAAGCACGCGTCGACCTTGCTTGCCAAGTGTGAACGCTAAGGCAGAGCCGGCAAGGCCAGCGCCAACGACGATGACATCGACGGCGTCGTCGTCGGAGGCGGCGCCATGTGGCGGCAGTTCATCCTCCTGCTGCAGCTGACCCATCAACTCGCTTCTAGACTGCTGACAATCCCGGTGGCGATCTTCAACCTCTCCTTTGGTCATTTCGTCGTTTTGCCCCACTCCTTTTTCTCCTCCTCCTCTTTTTCCTCCCCCTCCTCCTCCTCCTCCTCCTACTCCTACTCCTCGTGGCTCCTCCTCCAATTGGCAGCTGCGGCGCTCTCTTCCTTTGGCCCCCTTGCTCTTATAACTTAGGAACACCAGATTGCAAGTGTGAAATGCGAACACGAGAAGATAAGACACAAATATCATTACTATCAAGCTAGGAATAAGGACGATTAAACGGTCCAGGTTCTCCCAGAACGATTCAAATACATTGACGACAGCGGCGGTATCCATGATAACGGAACGGAACGGAAAGTAATGGTGTAGCAGCACGGAATGGCTCTCCTTTCTCTGCGTCTTCTAACACATATTGTTGATGGTATACCTTAAGTAATTCAATCTCCTCACACACACACACACACACACACACACACACAC